ACAAACATGAAATAGGTCCTTTTTTTTTTTTTCTTAATTTGCGCTCAGTCGTTACCGACTCTGCAGTGACTGCTTGGACGAGTCCTTTTTTGCAGTAGAAAACAAACATGAAATAGGTCCTTGCTTAGGGCTAACATATCTGGGCTGCAGAAATCTGAATGATCACTAAAAAGGAGTTTGTTATATCTCTTTGCTTCCACCTATAAACATCATCCTGATTTTGGCAGCTCAGATATGGTAGCCCTACCTGTGCCCTGTGCCCTGTGCCCTGTTACTGCATGGCTGTTTTGCAGTGAGAAATTAATGTGGGAGATCCTGATAACTTATTTTCTCTTCTGTTTCGTACTTTGGCCCTTAAGTGCTAGTTCTTGGTTTGGCCACTATGTATCAGCTTGCATTTAGGTGGATGGACAGTATAAATTATTTCAGAAATTATGATTCAAACATATTATCGTAGCATTCTAAAATGGTTTAATTTCAAAGTGAAATAATAATAGCTTTAGCTATTGATGATGTAAAGCTTAAGCTCAAGCACACACCCCTCCCCAAATGATACATGATCTCTATATGACAGGACCTCTTGATACTGAAAACTGGCAGCATTCCTCAGTAAAAAGCTTTGGAAAACATGATTGTCTCCTGTCAGTTCCTAATCCTAACTAGAGCTGTCTTTTTGTAACCTTGGTAGCTCCTTCTACCTCCTGGCAATATATTTTAATGTCTTGGTTACTGGATATATTTATTATGGTTGGGAATAATCAGCAGTTCATATTTTCTCTTGTTATGCAAACAGTAACTTTAAAATCTTGTTTTCTTCTTTCTGTAACATTGAGGAACAATTCCAGGCTGGACCTGTAGTGTTTACAGCATAGCAATGTAGCATAAAATCATTTAAATTACAGCTAGCAGCTATATAGTCTAGGTAGAAATTGTATGTACCTGCAAATCATTCAGGAGACATTAATCCATATAATCAAAATGGAGCAGATAAATGACACAAAGGTTACAGTCCTAAGTAACTTTGCACAGCTGTATCTTTGTGATAAATAATCCATCACATTTAAAATTCTCTTCAAATAATCCTTGTTTCAGGGACTAGAAATAACTTATTACTAATGGTGTTATTTTCATGGCATAATGGGTATCCTTTTTAGCATATAAGAACTCTCAGCCAACTTGATTTTTTTATGAAAGCTTAAGTTAAATTCAGGAAGTTATTCTTTTGATTTGGTTCTGTTGATGACTTCGAATTAATCTTCAGTTAAGAGGTAGATATGAAAGTAGAATTAGTCTGTGTGCTAATAGTTGGAGCTGGTTGAAACATTCATCCATATACAATGGCCTTGGAAGATGAGAAACTTAACACTGCACTTCTGTAGAAGCGAAGCAAAATAATTTTATCTCTGTTAATGTGGAATTTTTAACTGAAGTGATATCTTCAAATGAGTCTCAAGCAATATTAAGTTGCATATGGGATGATTCTCCTCTTGCTTCTCATCCACTTGGATGAGGGTACTAATTGTTAGCATTAGTACCCTCGTCCGGGTGCTTCCCAGGTATGTTTGGGGTTATGATTCCCAATTTTTCATGCCATCATGGCTTTACAGCATAGAAATTTTGTGAGGTGTAGTCTCAACAGATTTGGACACTTATAGAATGGTGTAGACAGGTCTGTGTGATTCAGGACATATATATTCATTGCCATAATTGCTGTGTTCACATTATCCCATTCTGTATCACAGAGCTTTGATGTATGATAGACTTTGGATTTGGAAATATGGAATCAAGCAACAATTAATTTTAGGGATTGCCCATAGTAGCTATGAACTATGTCAACACTGATTGATTGGAGCTGTTTATTCTGCACATCATAGCTTATGCGGAAATATATATTTGTAAGTTTGGTTGGTCTTTTTTTAATCATGTGTCACAATGTGTTCTACTTGGTTTGCAAACTTAAACTATGCAGCTCTTTTTCTACCTAGAACTGATTTCCTCAGCCATTCTGTGTTGCCAGAACATCCAGGATGAGATTTGACTTATGTTATGGCAATACAGCATTTGTATTTGTTTCTACTGAATACCTGAAAAGTTTCATAAAAGATTATCAGTTTTAAACAGGCAATGAATAGGGATGGAAAATGTGAAACATCCCTCTTTCATTTTCCTTGATCCAAAGTAGCCACTTCCTACAATATATTTTTTTAAAGAAAGATTTGTGTGTGCATCTCATGTGGCGTTTGGTATCTTGGCTGGTCCATACAGTTAGAGTTCACTGATATTTTAACAACCCTATTCAGCAATATCTTTCACCGAAAAGTGTTCATTGTCAGGCATGTTCTAATGAAAGGGGTGGTGAATTTTGAATAGTGCCCCCTCCCCTGGCAGTCCTTGCATATCTGATTGGAACAGTGGGGAAAATGGTCCTGGAAGTTTCAGAGGGCAGAGATAATCAGCAAAACATCACCTTCCATTAGTAGAGGTTTCTACCAGAGCAAAGACCTTCTACTTGCAGAATGATTCCTTCTGTTCCTAATACTAGATATAATGTCATGTCTGTGGCTGGAGAAACAATAGAGTGAAATGTTTTCTGTAAGTGAAATAAGAAATCTGAGGAGACTCTGTGTAGAAGAGGAAAAGTTGTGGTTGGTAATAACTGATTCTCATTTTGTCTTTGGCAGATCCGTGTTTATATATTCCTCGTTTTGCACACATGCTGGAGTTTGGTGATAAGAACCATGAAGTCTCCATGACAGCTTTAAGGCTCCTGCAGCAGATGAAGAGAGACTGGATGCACACAGGTCGACGGCCATCAGGGCTTTGCGGTGCAGGTATTGCAGAACTCATGTAATTTGAGTGTGTGGAGTAGCAACAGCTAGTGGCAAAGAAATGTGTTGTTTATATTTAATTTTGTAAGAAGCAGTTGCATATGTTCACCCTTGGAATGTCATGCTTTTAGGCAAATCCACATATATAAATTTAATGTCAAGATGAAGAAAGTTGGATATGAACTTTAGGAACTAATCTAACCCTTGGCCATAAACCAGAGTATCAAGGAGGTTATATTATTCCACAAGCAGAAGGTGCAAATTATCTATAAGGCATTATATAAAAGTTGTTGGGAACATGAAAAGAGTGGATTACATTGAGCATAAAAAGTCCTATGGTTTCTCATAGACAGAGTCCTGTAATAAACAAATATATTAAAGGTGTGTGCAAAAGAGATGGTTCAGTAGACTGGAGCAAGTTAGTCAAGCTACAATTCCTTTCATGGCCTACATATAACAACCTTTTAGAGCCAAAGTATATGCTACAGGTAGATGCATGGACCAAAACCCTAAGACCAATTTTCCTAAGGGAAAACTACTTTGGGAAGGGAATTCAGCTGGTAAATTGAAAGAGGTGCTTTTGCTTTCTCTGATGCCTTGGAGAAGCAAATATGTTTGAAGCAGAAAAGGGGAAAATGACTTACAGAAGGCACTTGGAACAGAGAAGATGTAAGTAGAAGGATTGTGTTGTACTTCCGTTTTTCTATACTTCGCATGTGACATCATGCTACAGCGGAGAGAAAGATGGAACTGTTGGACAATTCTGGCAGAACTGTTGAGAGACTTGCTCTATCAGGCTGTTCTCCTTCAAACTGATTACCAGAATAGAGCACCTGGTCCCTGGTCCTGCTTTTGCTCTTCTTCCTTCACCACCTCTTATTCATTTCTTTTGATTATAAGCTTGTGGATGGGGTCCTGTCTTGTTTGACACAGATACTAAGTAAGCCACTACAGCTAAGAAGTGTGGGATAAAAATACTTTAAAATAGTACATTAAATAATATATTTAGGCTTCTGAATGTTTAAAGTGAAGAATGCAGTATTTAGTTAATTTCCTTCCATTGATTGTTGAGGGAAAGGATATCTAGTAATTTCTCTTCCTTTTTCTATTTCTTCCCTAGAAAATTTGTTTTTAGTTGGTAGCTACCATTTAATAGTTCAATTGTGGCTTTCTTCCTATACCCAAGAGAAGATGAACAGAATTGTTGGGATACGATTTTTTCTGTATCATGGAAAATATATATTAAAGCATATCTCCCGACTTTAGCTTAAAAACACTGTTGAGGACCTCTGAACCTTGAACTGAAATATTGAAAGCATTGAATGATCTTATGCAATTACTTTTTATCGAGATAATTTTACTGATTATGTAAATATGGTAAAAATGGAATACGTGTAGCAATTTTGAAATAATATGGGAAAAAGCAAATGCATGTGCTATTGTGGTGTTAGGACATTTTTCCTTAATTCCTTAATCTTAATTCCTTAATCTGTGTGCACAGATATGTGTGTATGTGTGCAAGGAGGAGGCTCATCTAGTTGAAATAAGTTTTGAGGTGGAGTATTACACCATTCTGCTTTTACCAAAGTTTGTTTGTGCTGACTTAATATTTCTGCATGCAAAGTAAATTTTATAAAATTCAGAGCTAAACATCAGTATTTTCAAATTAATATGAGAATTAGAATTTCCAATGGCACTTGCATGACTTAATGTATTCCCTTGCTTCCCCCCTCCCTTAAGTGCCTTTTTGATGTGGTTCTTTCTCTTTTTATGTTCTAGCTCTCCTTGTTGCAGCAAGGATGCATGATTTTCGGCGCACTGTTAAAGAAGTCATCAGGGTGGTTAAAGTTGGTGAATCTACATTAAGGAAAAGGTAGGTCAAGTTTGTAATTTTTTTTCATATTTTACTTGAGCATTAGAGTATTTCTAAAGTTTATTATTTGCTGCATGGAAAATAGATCTATTTTCCCCTTCTGGAAATAGATCTTTTACTATGCTTTGATTAAACAGTGTCTTATTTTGGGCCCCAGGAAGCGTGCCTTCTCTGTCACAGAGCTTGCCTTCTGGAATAAAGTTCTCCCTGAAATCTGGGTGGCTCCCACCAGGATGGCCTTCTAGAAGGCTCTTGTCCCAGGCTTTGGGTAAGCTGGTTGGAGCCCCTGCTGGATGTATGATATCTGTTTTATGTGTTGACTGGATTTGCCATCTGCTTGGTGTTTTATGTAGACTGTTATTTTTATATTGGTTTGTACTGTGAGCTGCCTGGAGTCAGTCTGGAGTTGGGCAGCACCTAAATTAAAAAACAAACAAATAAAATAAAGTGCAGCTGATTTACATAGAATTTCTTTTTTATATAACTTTTATTAGAGATTTACGTAGAATGTTATAATCAGTGGGATGTGAACAGTACTGCACACGAGAGTCTAATTGGAACTGAACCCAAATATTAGCTGCAGAGGCGGTTCTTCTGCCTCATATTTTTGAAACTGGAACAGGAGTTGGATTTCAGAAGCTGAAGTTTCATTGAGGAGATAGTGTTGCTCTGACAGCTAAATATGAACATTTATATTGGAATTAGCCACCTGCAAGCAACTGATCTCTGGATCTGATGTGTGTCATCCATATTCCATTCTATGACTAGACCAGTGGTTTTTGTTGCAGTCCTAGAACATGACATTCTGGTCTGTTATAGTTTTGTTTTCCTGTTAAAAGACTACTTCTTCCCAGTCATAACTGTAATGTAAAACTTCAGAGCAGAAGCTTGGTAAATCCAATTTTATGAGTTTACATTGGCCCAAAATCTCAGTAATGAACATATTTCTTTGGTTTTATTCTGAATACTTATAGGGTCTGCAAAAGATCACATCTTAAGAAAAGGATGTTATTTCAGTTACTCCTAACCAAAGTCCAAATATATATATGGTGCATGTGAATCTTTGGGCTTTTCCATAAATTACTTCTGGAAATGTATCTTTTTCTTTGTATGGACTGTCTACCTATTGTGAAATGAATGGGAAATGACATCCTTCAGGAAAGGGAGCTCGGTGTATACTTGTGAAAATCTTTGCAAAGTTCTAGTGGTCATGACACCTGTTTCAAACTTCATGATTTAATTGTAATAAACTGAATATAAACTAAAATTTTAGTTTATATTTCAGTAATAAACTAAAAATCAGGAAGACTTAGACTTTGGTGCTGGGAAATGTTTAAATAAAATCCATTTTTTGCACCCAGATAAAATGGAAACTGATTCTCCATGCAGTTGCTGAGGATAAAAGATTTCTATTAAACCCCAGGACTTGAAATGTTTAGTTTCAAGAGCATAGCTTATGTCAGGGTATTCTTATTGTTTTATATACAAAACAATGCCTATTAATTTTTTTTCTTGTCAGACATATTGAGTTTTTAAAACCAATTCTACTCTTTTTAATAATTAGCATTTACAGAGAACCCCAAGTTCCATAGTAACAGGAAACTTTCCCTGTTTTCCTGTTTACAGGAAAGTAAATATACAGAATTAACAATTTTGTATTACTATGTTTACAAAGTAAGTTTAAATGTTTTTCCTGAAATCAATGAAATTAATAGAAACAATTTAAGTCACCGAATGATTCCTATTTATCAATACTCCAATACTACTTTTGAAAGTAGTTGGGTTTTTTTTTTTACTATTGTAACCATAGATCCATAGCCTTACACAGTGCAAAAATCACTGAGTTAAAATACATATTAAAAAGAACAGGTAAGACCCAAAACTACTAATGATAGGATTGTACACATAAACTACGTAAGGCCTACAATAAATATGGCAAAAGAATCACAAAATTTCTGGAGTAAACAACTCTACAAAATATAACCCTCATTACTTACATGAATCAAAAAGTTGACATGGCTTTGAGCAGCTGCTCGAATAAAGACTGTCACAGCTGTGAAGGTCATCCTATTCTTAGGAAACAAATTTTCTAGGGGGTCAGTCAAGCCCGCTTCCTTTTTCAATATTGGAGCTAAATATTTCATAGCGGCTGCTAACGAGGCATGATAAGGTAGTAGATTATGAGGGATATCGCCTTTAGTGCCCCCTGCTATGAAGCCATTAGGAAAGGTTATAGGGAAATTGCCTATATTTTTTTATCCA